AAGATTAACTATTTAGGCTAGTCATCACCACCCACCGCCAATTCTTGAGCTACTCTTTTACCAACGAATAGTGGGATTGACCGTCACTTTATAACGCCTCCACGGCTGTAAGGGCGAGCATGTTTGGTGTGACGGGGATTCGATCCCGCGACCCTCAGATTTCGAGTCGAGTGCCCTAACCACCTGGCAATGTCTGGCCCCAGAAAACAGTTGAGAGGTAGTCTTTAAAAAAAAGGAAACAGGGGAACTGATTACATAAAAATGAATAATAAAATAGTAATTAAGGAACCTGGTAAAAAAAAAAGAACATATTCTGAATCATTTTTTCACAAACTAAGATTTGACTAACATTTACTCTGAAAAATTTAATGAAATGTTATAACAATGAAAGAATTAGCATTTTTAGACCTTGTATGCTATAATTTTTGATAAATTTTATTCCATAGGTATAGGAATAAGGGATTATTAGGGATCTGTAAAATCCTTATATAGTTTACACACATTTTACATAAGCACTAAATAGTTTTTAATGTTTATACCTAAACGAAAGTTTACAAGACGATATAAAACAAATATTTAGGAAAATCTGAATTAAAATTATAATGTCACATCGGATATTAAAGTTTTATAATGCCTTCCCTCTAGTCTTACACTGCAAAATTAGGGACGGCTAGCACAGATAGCCCCCGTGTAGCTTTGCGCAAAATTCATGAACAAACAAACAATATTTTTATTAAAAAGTATGATTTTAAGAACCAAATATAAGCCCTTAAGGACACACCTATCTTATTGAATCTAGATACAAAAAAAAAGTCCCCAAAAGGTCTAAATATATTCTATACGCTTTTAATCCGTAATCATGAACGATATTAGGATACAATGATATTACACCCATAGTCACTAAACTGTGATTAGGTTCTATTTGCTTCGGTAATTTTTCAACAAAATTTCTATCTTCTCTGAGGTAACTCTCTCCTTTCCGATATAAATTGCTTTAAAATTATGTACAAAATATCACCTAGTGGTTCCAGAATTTTCTGAAGGCTCCATACGTATTCTGCTGGTTCCCCCTTTCAGTATACTTCTTATTTCCTCTGATTTGTGTACGTTTCGTATCACGTAGAAGTAACCTAATTTTAAAATGTACTCTATCTAATCTTTAGCCTAATCGTTGTTAAAGTCATTCGTGTATTTAATTAAACCTTTCCACCTTTAATTAATCCTCATTTATCTTTATCGTTGGATTTTGTAAATGGTTGAAAAACATACGATTACAATAACATTTTCCCATTATAATTAAAACGTTGTCTTTATCGCTATTTTAAGTTTTGATAATATAACCCTTTCTCTTTCATAATATAGTCTTTCTGTGGTTAGGAATTCACTTTTCTCAAACAATACATCTACTTCTAAATTTCTTTCTTTAGGTCGTTGCAAGGTTGATTTTAACTCTGATAAAACCATTCTTTTAGACGTACATTTATGATAAATTCTTGGAGATCTTTAGTACGTTCTTCTTGTAAAATTCAATACTCTACATAATAGTTTTACGTCATCTTTATTCAAATTTCCCTTCGAGAGTTTAAAACTTTCAAAAAAGCCTCATCGTGGAAGGCTTTATGTTTGTTCTGTTGTTATATTCGTAGTGAGATGTCTTCTTTATTTATTATTTTTGTCCTGAATTCTTAGTTTTCTGCTTGGTTACGATCTTGATAATATATTGGTTTTCTATAATATGTCCTATCCTTCACTTTGTTGACATTTGTTTCATTTTCAAGTTCCTCATTTCTTATGCACTTTACTTCTGATTCTTCGTCAAGTCTTCTCAATCGTTTCTGATTACTTGAGATATAATTTTTCTTCCAATGATTGCCGCCATTTTCTCTCCTCCTACTTTTGTTTGTTGGATCGCGATAGTTGTAGTTTCGTTCTGGTTTTAGTTTAATTATCCGTTTTTTCTTGATTTTTGTCAAATATCTTCCAGTTGTTTTCGAAACCACTTTTCTTATACGTTTCTTCATATTGACACAAGTTTTCTTTATAAAGCTTATCATGATTTAAATTTTTTTCTTCTTTTTTTCAAAATGAATACTTTAAAATCAGTTTCCGGATGTGTTTGTTTCTTATGTTTACACCTCACTTGTAGGACTTCTATATCTGTTCTTATTTATTTTTCCCCCTTGTTGATTGTTCTTAGGAACTCTCAAGTATTAAGGTTGGTTCTTCTTGTAATACTCTTTCTGTACATCCCATAACCTAGAAGCTCTGTACGTCTTTTGTTAAGATCCATATTTATGAAATCTTCTTTGTACTTTAAAATTTGTTCGAGAACGTCCACATCTTCAATAACTTCTTAGGTTTGTACTTGATGTACCTGATGATGACAAAACCTTGTCGAAACGTTGTACATTTGCTGTTTCGTTAAACTTATATTAAAGTTTTACTTCATTACCCATGCAAGCCGTCTCCAAGCATTATACAACACATTAAATATGGTTTATCAGACGTGTTAACTTATTGTAGTATGGTGCTTTTAATTAAGGTTCGTTTGGAGTAATAAAAACATATGCCGAAGAAGATGAAAAGACGCATATGTACCCTAATATTAAGACAAATATGAATGAAACAAGGGCAACATAAAAACCCTATAACTTAAATGTGCGTAAAAATCACTTATGGACTCTGATAGCGTGGCCTATGTGGTTATCGTGCCGAGCTGTGGATCTCGTGATCCAAGGTTGAAGTTTGTGATATTCCGCTGAACATACTCTGCGTTATAAAAATGACACCCAATCCCGCTATTTGGCTAAGAGCAGTCATGTAGGCGGCGGGTGCTATTGGCTGGTTGCTCTCGCTCTGGTCAACAGTCTAAAATTACGGACGGTTCTACCCGAACCTTGGGATATACGACCTGACCATTTAGCCCAGTATTACGTGAAGCTTAAAAATACCAAAGTCATCGTCACAAAACAACACGTTTGAAGATCCAAAACATGACTTATTGGGTGACAAAACAACACGTTTGAAGATCCAAAACATGAATTATTGGGTGACAAAACAACACGTTTGAAGATCCAAAACATGAATTATTGGGTGACAAAAATAACATTAAGTCCTCTTCATCGTATTTTTTTTCTCCTTGGTCTTGTACCTTCGTCCAAGTTTGTTTGTTTTGGAATTTCGCGCAAAGCTACACGAGGGCTATCTGCGCTAGCC